GGCAGGCCTGGTACATTGTAGTTTGAGTTCTTTTTAGAGATGTACGATCGTGGATTTGGCGTTGACACTGTTGATGGTGCTGATGGATACTTCGATCGTTGGTTTGCATGCGCATCGCCTCTTCCGCAACCTCGATGCATGGAAGCTCAGGAACAAAGAGCGAGGTAACATTTCTTGTCATAATAATCCCAAAAATCTTCTAATTTTCATTTCTTACTTTCTTTTTCCTTTCTTTTTTCCCTTTCTTTCCTATTATAACTTTCTCTTGTGCTTTATCTGTGTTAAAAATGGACGGCAATAATTTGTTTTCGTGTTTCACAACAATTCGGCCTCGCCCCGTTATATGCAGATTTAGGTGAACTAGTGATACGCAAATTTCAAACTTTTAGAGTATCACCTATTGAAGCGGATATATTGGTATCCTACGCAACTACACCTGGCTATGTTTCGTGGCGAAATTCGGTGAGAGGCAGCTGGTTCGTGCAGAGTATCTGTGAAGTATTTGCAAAATATGCAAAAACAACCGATATTTTGTCTATGTTAACATTGGTAAGCTTCACGTACGTAATTTTATTGATTTTGCTCATTGTGACAGGCAAATATACATTGTTACATAATTTCTCAATCGATTTCAGGTGAACAAACAGGTTGCCGATGCATTTGAGAGTTCCACGGGATCATTCAAGCAAATTCCGGATCATTCCTCCAGGCTGCGCAAAGATTTTTACTTCTTTCCAGGCGTAACAAAGCCATTCACTTGAGCTCCGTACAGGTATCTGATATTCAATATTCCTGTAGATTCCTTCATTTTTGCGACACTCCAGTCCCGTGATCTTTTGTTTAAATGCGCCAACTGAAAGGGTTAATTTGATTTAAACAAACTTATTGATTCAGTCGCTTAAATAAAAGCTTGTAATGTAGAAAATTGAACATGAAATCTATTATCTGTACTAGGCTGGAAGCTAATAGAAGAAAGCTAATTTGAATAAAAATGAATTCCTCCAAGCACGACCATAGGCAAATCCGGGGGAGAGAAGGGAGGGAGAGCGTGGGGGAAGTGGAGGGGAAAGAAAAGGGATGAAGGATCTTCCCCCCTCCCCCTCGATAAAGGATCTACCTCCCCTTCTCTCCCCTCCCCCTTTCCCCGTTCCCCAGCAGCACAGGCACCATTTCTGTAAAAAGTCTGGGTCTAAAGCTAAAACTGAAGTAAACTAAAGCCTAAAGTAATTCTAAGTAGCACTGTTATAACTCTATTCTTAGTTTTCGCATAATTCCAGGGTGAGAAGGGACTATCCCCTCCAACCCCGTCGCCCCTTCCCTACCGCCCCCTCTCTCCCATCTCCCCCAGAGCCCTTACTGAATCCACCTATGAGCATGCCGAACAGGCGCTGTCAGCACGTTTGATTTTTTTTGATGCAACAGATGTTTTTTATCGAAATTTCTATACTTTGATTTTTTATACCACATCTTTTTCAGATTGTTTCTGAACGCAGTTTTACCAAAGAGGGAACCATCGTTTGTCTTGCGCCAATGCTTTGATGAAAGCGAAAAAGCGCTTGTTGTTGGGTGGCAAGAACTTATAACAGTTTGAGCTAGCTATAAAAAATAGTTACTAACTATTTTTGTTATTCCTCTTCCTCAGTAATTTCGATTAACTCACTTTTATTTCGTCCATTTTTTGTTATTTTTTGGTATGATGGCAATATTTTCTTGGTTTTTTTTCCTTTTTTTTTGCTATTTTTTGTATCCATATTTGTTAAAATGGTTCAAG